CGATTCCTTCTGGCTCAGGTGGTATTTCTAAAACATCCCCTTGACACCTATCCATCATGCAAACGCTCATCCATTTCGTCGCTTTTCCACCCGTTAATCCGTCTTAGCAATCATCCACCTCTCCAGCCCTCCGACCATCCATATTTTCACCCGTTAGTCCGTTCATCCATCCGCTCGGCTTGTGTTTAGCACTTTGCCTTAGTCTTCTGCCCACTCTCCCCTTTTAACCACTGCAAAACCTTCTAAATCCACGGTTAAAGGCGACAATTTAAAGGTCTTATCTGTTCTGGGCAGTTTTGGCCACTCGGTCCCTCAAATTTTTCCCCTCCCACTACCTTCACTTCCCCTCACCACAGTTCAGTTCGACTGTAAGATCTCCAAAAGTGCAAAATGTGGTCGTAGCCACAAATCCTCGCCTCCGACCGAACGCATCACAACACTGGCATCCAAAAAATGGCCAATCCACAGCCATAAGTCAGACAACGTAGTGCAACCAACCTTGTCCAGAGGCAACAGTGATTACGCACACCACGAAGGCGAGTTCTTACGATGTGCAACAACTTTGTCAAGTTGGCCCCTTACTTTCCTACTGAGTTTTTTTGTGCTCAAAAGATGTCCTCTACTAGCAAGGTGTTTCCAAAGTTAATAGTCTTTTGTATTGCTTTTTTTTTTCTCATTTTCAAGGCATATTTGATTTGTTTGTGTACAAAGTGCGGACTTCCGACCAAACCACCTTCAGCTGTCAGGTGACAATTCAAACCTTTCGATTGCTCCAACCTGCACGGGTGAAGACTCTCACCAGTTCCACCGTTTTCCTCACTATCTACAGTAAGTCCTCTATCATCGCCTTCCTTTTTTACCTTTTTTGCTTCGTCTTTGTTGCTCACCTGAGCACAGCCCAGAGGCGTGTGTGTAGACAATTATTTCGGCTTACTGTCAAACCCTCGGATGGAGGTCAAACCGTCGACAGAGGGGGACGAAGCACTACCCTACAAACTCATGTTTTTGGTGGGAAAATAAGTCATACTGAAGGAAGTAGCATATTTATTATTAGCTCCTCCACTCCAGCTAATGAAGGAGAGGACTTGTCATCGTTGTCACGGTGGTTGGAGGGCAACGTAACACGCAACATTTGGCACTGTCAAACAGCCATAGTGACGAGGCGATGTGTTTGCGTCAGCGTCAAGCGGGAGGCAGAGTCACTGAGGCTACTAAGGGGAGGAGGAGGAGGAGGAGGGGGAAAACATGCATGAGGTAACTTTTCTTTGTTAAAAAGTGACGCTTTTGGTGGGAAGCGTACGATTCCCACTCTTTTTAAGTGTCCCTTAAGAGTGTGGAGGTGGGGAGGAGTGGGAGCGCGACACCATCCGCCATGAAGTGTCTTCGTGGTCCCAATCAAGTGGTTATCCTTCTCACTAGCAAATTAACTTAGGTACAACATAATTCGCCTCCAAAATCGCCCGAGGTAGCGACAATAAAGTGCGCCTAATTCCATCCATCCATCTACCCAGTATTCGTCCATGCCTCCATTCATCCGATATCCACTCACTCACTTATCCATCCATTCATCTATCTGGCATCCTTCCATCCCCTCACTCATTTGCCCATTAACACGGGCATCCAGATTTCATATCATCGCAACGATCATGCCCATCAGATAGTCCCCTCTTCCTCCCTCGCACTCTTCTGATGACATTTTCCCATTAGGAGCCAACTATCATCCGCCGGAGGAGTTGATTTGCTGCATGCAAGGTCCATTCCCGTTTAGCAAGACGTAGCGCACTAAGAGTTGGCGATCAATCCCATATGTGGATAGTTGATTTTAACTTGGTAGCGGATACTACTTTTATACACTTATAAGTAGCATCTTCTAAGTAAGCAAAAATAATACGTAGAGTTCATTCCTCCCAAACCAATCCGCCTTTTAGCCACTAGCGACTTTTGTACAAACCCAGCTAAGTAGTAGCGATCGCGAATTCCCACACTGCAGATTATGGAGGAGGCACGAGGACTTTCGGTGTTTCCACAATGGATCCGCAATTTTCCAAGGGGTCAAATTCCTTGTAAGTGGAGGTGAACCTTAATCTTTTTTGGAAGCGATTCTCCAAATTTTGACGACATCGTTAACAAACAACAAGGTATGGAAAACGAGGTGCCTTATAAGGCAAGTAGTAGTCTTTGATGACCTAAACAACCTCTGAATACGCAATAACACCTTTGAATAGGAAAGAAAGAAAGGTGTTATAAGAAAAGACGAAGACAGACGTCATGGATTGGTGAAGATGTTGGAAAAGTTCAACTAATCAATGCTTCAACACTCCTTTCATTCCTTTGGGTTGTACAATTTGGTAAAGCTGTGGTTGACAATTCTTTTCCACTGTGCTTTAAGGTCCCCCAGAGAGACTTTTTCTGAGACGGATTCCCCTGCCTGTAACTTCGAAACACCTCCAAGATGGCAACATCAATCTTCAATCAGACAATCCATCATTAGCTGATGTTCACACATTCCAGAGTTTTGAAAAACCTCTTTCCCTTCCTCGGCCCTCCACGCATCGACTGCAACATTCCACAGCACTGACCACTCCAATGGAGGTGAACATACAACAGAAGGAGGAGATTTGGGCCCTGGAAGGTCATAAAATCGCCATAGAATGCATCGCATCACCCAGTTCTCCAGCCTCCAAATTAATGTGGATCCTATCACCGGTGGCAGAGGTGGAGGAGGATTTGTCACTTCAACCCACTTTCGATTTTGAGGACTTTTCCAAGAAAAGTCGAAGTCTTCAATTTGAACGAAAGTATCCCAAATGGCGTTTTGTCTTTGATGCCCGAGAAGGTGCTGGATTGGGCTTTAGAGTGGAAAATAAGGAGGTCGCCGATTCCACCACTGGATTGTAAGTTCACCCAATCGTGGTCCGATCACCTTAGCCCTTAGAAAGTAAAAAAAAGTTTAAAAAAAAAGAGAAATGAGGGGTTAAACCAGAGGGATGGAGGTGGTGGAGCAGAGGAGGGAAATTTGTTTTTTAAATGCGTTGCCCTCTCCTCTCTCACCAATCCCCCAAAATTAAGGGTTTAGAACAGCAGCTTTTCAGGTGGGCCATTTGTTTGTTTTCCTCCCTCATTTGCTGCCTTGACTCAGTATTTTTCATTTTTTTTTCTTTTTTGGTGCACTTATTGCTTTCATAACTGCTCCCCAATTCTGCAGTCATCTGAGACGATGTCCCCAAGGTTGACATGTAATTGCTGTCGCTTCTGGATGCCCTGAAAGGGAGGCGCATTGACATTGTTAAGAGGGGTTTCCCATGCTGGCACTGACAGGTGGCCGACAGCCTTGAGTTGACAGGTTTAATTAGATGCTGCAGAAGAGGTCAAGTTGGACAAAGTGGCCACGAGCCCAATGTGCTCCTTTTTATTCTTTTTACTGTCTGTTTGTGCATTGGAGACGCTGTCGGGAGGCCCACGGCGGCTCCGCCTTCATCCACCTCAGTGTTGTAAGGCCTCGTGGAGGCGGAAAGCAGTCGAGGCTGCTTGAAGTGGAAAACAAGTCCCCTCCTCAAGGGGGTATTTGTTGAGGCACGAAGTACACTTTTGTGCCCAAATAGAGTTTATTTTGCCTAAAAAGAATTAGCCTTTTGCATATTTATGGAGTAGAGGCATTAAATATGCTGAAGGAGAGAGCTTTAAAATGGCGCGAAGAGAGTAAGGAAGCGGAATTGCGAGGGGTCGAGGCAGCAAAAAACGAAGGGAAAGGAGAAGGACAGTCTTTCAAGTTATTAGAAAAACAAAATATTGAGTTCTCAAAAGCAAAAAAAAAAGAACCCTTTAACGGCCATTCTCTCAGAGAAGAAGGCGAACGAGGAGGAGAAGAGGAGGAGGAGGAGGAGGAGGAGGAAGGGGAAATTAAAATCTTTGACGATGATTCTTTAAGGAATTTTTTCCTTTATTTTGAAAATACTACTGCTGTTAAGAGAAGTAAGACTTCTAAACTGGAGGGAGAGTTTAAAGCCTTCACTATGGTCGGCATCACTTTGGACGGCGTTGAGGACTGAGTGGGAGACAACCTCATCAGGGATGTAGACAGCATTGAGAACAGGGTTGTGCACCTCTGAGACGCCTTCTTTCACCCAGTGCTGGTGCCTGTCCGCTCTATCCGAGCTTTGTGCCTCTCCAATGCCAGAGGTCAGTGGAGTTACTTTCTCGTCTCGCCATCTCATCGTGCGGTGGAACACTGACAAGTCTCCGCGGGCTCTTAGGCCTAAAAAATAGCAAGCTTTCATATTCGCGTTCACCTCATTCCAAATGCTGCCATTACAGAGGCGAGACACGAATGCC